ACCTGATTGTCACTGTGAAACGGGATTCGTGGTAGAATATCACTCTAGACCATTGCTAGTGACCTTAACCAATATGCTCTTACACCAGCATAATCCTTCTAGACGATGGTGCAGTTGAAGCGATATGCGAACAAACCAAAATGATTTAATCGTTGTGAGCTTGTTCTGGCGGAAACTGTGTACCGATAGTGGTTGCAAGGTCTACAGCATCTTACTGGGAGTGACATTTCTGTTCCTTTTTGTGGTAAGGGATACATGTCGATCCTCTTAAGGTGTGGTATTATTACCATGACCACCGGCAAACTTTTGCATAGCTATTTTAGCTTTAGCGGCCTCTTTTAATAGTGAGATAACACTTTTTGACACTACCATTATTGTGGCTACTGTAATGATAATTTAACCTGCTCTCAGTAGTCCAACTGCTTATCCTTGATCATCATCTCCCAAATGATGTCTTACTGATATTTGGCATTTAATTATTACAACACCACCTCGAATTTCACAGAAATAAGTTCAACAACCTACAGGGCTATATTGGTTAAGCACCTAACAGTAAGAGTTTTCGAATGTTTGAAGAATTTGTATACACTACCCTTTATAGAGATATCTGGTCCTGCTCTACCCTTCCCTTTGCTCTTGATTTTACAATTATTGCCGGGCAGTCGGGAACGCTACTTTGCATAAATCATTTGTTCCTTAGCAATTCTCAAGCAGCGTATAATATATAATACAATTTAAGAAACATTGCATCTTTTTATTCCTTTAATTACCACCTCTGCTTTTGAAAATATTATTGCCAACGAATATAATATTCTAATGACTTGAAAAATTTTCATATAGAAATTTATTTGTTCTGCGATATCTCATTTTCATTTACTGAGACACAAAATAAAGTGCAACGATCAGTCTTTAACAAAGCCAGCAAAACATTTTCTAATAAGAATCAAATGGTGCAATTACTTGGATTGTAAGACCCATCCTTTTTAATGGACCATTGAGAATTTATTCGCTTCAAACTTTTTCAATAGGATAGATGATGGTAGGCGCAAAATGAAATTGCCAGCTCTTTCCTTTTTTATTTCACGTCAATAAAAATCTACTATGATGGTGAGATAGACACACTAGACTAACACACTAGTTTTTAGGATAGATAAAAGAAGTAAATAGCCAGAAAATAGTTTTAAATATGAAGGCATATTTCAAGTAAATTATTTTCTATGAAGAATTAAAAAAATACGAATTATCTGTTATTTAAAAAAATGAGAATCTATAATGAAACTGAGTTTTATCTTTTGAAGTGTCTCAGTGTAAATAAATATATGAGATGTTTTAAAAGAAAGAAATTTATATATATATATCAAAATTTTATTAAAAATTAGCTTTTAAAATTGCAGCTGAAGTAATTTCAGTTTCAATGGAGGTTTATTAAATACTCATGTCACGCAATTGGTTTGGTGGAACAAATTTATATCTAAGAGATTTTAAAAAACAAAGAGAAAAAAATATATATAAATTAATAATTGAAGATCATAGGGACAAAAATTATATTGAAAAAAATAAAAATTTATGATAGTAAAAGGAACAGTTTTTTGGTGCATGTGCCTGAGTATCTCTCTTATAAATCCTCCTGAAGCATTTGTGCTTTCGTCCTGAAACATAGGCAATGATTTAAAGACGCAATTTTAGCCTCCGATCTAAAAAAAGAGAAAGAAAACGCGTTTAAAAACTGCAACTAAACTGTCAGCTAAAACATTTGAAAAATTTTATTTTTTCTTTAGCTTAGAACTACTTATTGTTTCAAATTAAAAAAAAATAACGGTTCTGTTTTATCAAACATTTTAAAATTATTTAAGCAAAATATTTTTGTAAGAATGCCGCAAAATATTCTATGAATTTTACAAAATAATCTTATATTTTCAATACAAATTTTGAACAGAATAAATCATGAAATGGTTGTTAGTATAACCAAATGAAAACTCGCTTTGCTGTGAATTATGAGCTATTAAATGAAGAGAAAAATCCATAATTTTCAAATTATAAATGCAACAACAACAAATTTGTATATTTTTTTTAAGTAATATTCTGTGGCTATAAGAACTTATTTGACAGACATAGAAAAATCAGTTTTCACTTTTTAAGACTTGGAAGCTAAGGAGAAAAATCTACAGAATCGAAACCAAAATAAACATTAGCAATAAAACAACGACATGGAACTTAACGGTACTTCCAATGTAAATATTCCAACTAGAAATACCATGAACGCATCTGCTTCAAGAATAAATTCAATGGGAAAAAAATAGGATCTTAGCGTTTATTTACATTTGTATCCTGCGTCTAAAGCAGATCATTTGGTATTCTGACCGAGTTTGTAGCTTTATCCCGTCTTTTTTATTTATGAGTGTTATTTACAGAGGACCCGCACCTGTATCAGAGTTCCTATTGGACTTAAAATTGAAACTGTGTAATACCACTTTGGCATCACTATCTTTTCTATTTTGTAGCACTAATGGGCTTTTTTCTGCCTTCCGCATGTCATATTTCTTACCAGGCCCCTACCTGCTATTTACGTTTTCAATTTCAGATTTTAGATTTCTATTCTGATTTTAGGTACAGCTTCAAATTTTTTCTATTTTCCAAGCCATTTCTAACTATAAAAATGGATGTTCTAAAATTTTTAGTTTCTTTTTCGTAAAAAGACTTTCTTTTTCTGTTTTCTTAAGTAAAAAGAACATTCTAAGAAGATTATACATATTTTTCATGAAACTTATAAGCATATTTGCGTGCAGTTGACAAAATTTCTATCTTTAAAAAAGGAATTGAACCAGTAGTAACATTGTAATTAGTTTCAGTAAAAGTAAGAATGTAAAAATATCCAATGACGAAACATAAATAACTTTTACTAGAACATTTTAATGAAATAAGGGATGTTAACTTAATATTGCTTAAAATTTTTAACAAATATAATTTTGTAAAGTAATGATATGTTTAAAAATAATGTTCAGCAGTAACTGTATACAGAGTATATCATCTTTGTATGGAAGTGGAACTCTGTTTGCATGTTCGTTAAAAACACGATAACAGGAGCACCAATTTAGGTCATATTTTTATCAGCAGTTTTAGAGAAATGTCTTTTGAACAATCATTTTTTCCGGAATCATGTAGTACAGTACAAAAAATATGAAATCCCATTAATGAAAGCCAGATTGTGCGCTGTCATGAAAAGAGCATTTTTGCAAAATATTTAAAAGATAGAAGCCAATGAAATGACTAGAAAAAAATTAACATTCTTAAATCTCAATAAACTCTTAGAATTTAAATGATGAATCAGACAGAGTGCTAAAGTTAAATAAGCAAGTTGACATAAGCTATCGAAATTTGAAGAAATACAATATTTCACCATCAGTGACGATCTTAAGCATAAATATGCTTGTTTTTATCGTATTAATACGTCAAAACAGCATTTCAATTTTGAAACTTTCAAATGTATTAAATTATAATGCTAAAACATTTTAGCACTTACTATTTAAAAAATAATTGTTAACCTCCTTTTTGATCACGAATTATAAATTCTTTAATAAACTTGTAAATCAAATAAACTTTATAGAAAAAAAAACGGCACTTATCTGTTGTTGGTATCATGAAGCGAAGTTCTCCAAAAAATAAAACAACGCCAGGCTCTGATTTACCCAGGTTACCGGCTACAGATAATACATAGTGCGTCGAATATGAAAATGTCGTGAATATCATACAAAGAAATAGTTACTGAATGCGGCATTTTTGTTAATGCGCTTAACATTTTATTAGAGTAATAAAAATATGGAAGCCAATAAAGAAGTTAGATTAAATGGAGAAATATCGCTATATATTTTTGACAATGCATTGCGATATTAAAATTTGTACTCATTAATCATGGGTGTTTGTTGATGTGTGGATGACAACCGTAAAAAGCAGTCATCAACGCATAATCCTTTTAACCTATCAGTAGAAGAAAAAAAAGTGGTTCGGCATAACAGAGGTTAGATGTCCCAAACATACATCCAAACGCCCCGTGGACTTATACTGCGGCATAAGTACCACTGAGAAAATTAAACACCAATTCTCTGTTATATAAGACATGCTAAATTGATTAAATCACGAGGTACCTTTTGATAGACCAAGGTTGGCATAGTCGATAACTCCTCCCATAGTCGATAACTCCTCCGTGACATACTGACGTGATACGTGATATGAACATGCTAATCTTGACAGTAACGCACACTTCGATCTGGTAACGCCTACTTCGATGGATGGTACACATTGAACAGTTGACTTGCTACTTGTGACTGCGAGACCATTCCTAGCACTGTTGCTGCTCAATTTCTATTACACACAACGTATACACTCGACTGCTAAAGGCAACACAGGAGCGACTACGATCGTGAAATAATACAACTCTCACATTCAGCACTCAAAACGGTGACCTTAATACAGCTCTCCCGGTCTTTCACAAGTACAGCAACTAGTGGTATCCGGCCATCGAATTCTATCCCTGATAAAATTCTGGCGGGGGAGTATTGTGGCGTAACTACCACTACGAAAATTAAACATCAATTCACTGGTATATAAGACATGCTAACTTGATTCATTCACGAGGTACCTTTTGATAGATGAAGCCTGGCATATTCGATAACTCCGCTCCCACTATACCACTTTCCATATGGACTTATTCCACTTTCAAAACTAGCGGCAAAATAATGTTCTATTAGTTTATTTGAAAAACTAATGTTAATTCTTTTATTGCACAAACGAAAATGCTTTTATGTTGCAAAAACTTTACAATAAGTAAGAAGTTTTCATAAAAATTAAATTTCAAATAATGAAAAAAATATTTACACTGAAAAAAATGAGTTAAATTATTTAAGATATTATCAATATAAAAGTAAATTTAAGATATAAATATGATACTTTCCAACATTTTGTTTCAAACTATTGAACACTGTTTGATTTTCAAGCATATTTACCAATAACCTTCAGGTCTTGAACACTAATACGTGATCTGTGAGTTTTAAAATCAATCCGACAAGTATATCGACCATGGTCGTCGTACAAAACTGGATCTATTCTCAGAGCAATTGGATTACGGTGGAGATCCAAATAGAGTCGGCCATCGAATTCATTTGATGGAAAATGCTGCCCCTGAGTCATTGTCCAGTTAATGAAAAATTTGTTTGAAACAAACCGGAGATCCAATGAATATATTGGTTTATAAAATCGATTGTGAAACCAACGAACTAAAGTAGGTATCTTGCTTCTGATGTGAATCTGTGCAGAAGCTGGACATGGTATGTCTACAGCTTGGTTTTCAATAGCCACAACACCTGCAACGAAATTTTTAGAAAAAATATTATTTTTTTTATCTGTTTAAGTGAACAAATTAATCGAATTTTTCTTTTTAAAATAGACCTTTGAATGAATTTTTTGACCTAAAATTGAATTAAAAGTAGAATATAAGAAGTGTAAGTTCCGAAGTTTTTAAATCATAGCTATTGCTCTTCATATTTCTACGGAATACTTAAACGTGGTTACATAGTAATAAATTTAGAAATTTAAGTTTGATTCTTTTTTGAGATAACTCAATTTTCAATTTCAAAACTTATTACTATTATTGAGACATTACATACATATATATTTATAATTAAACCTTAGGACAGTAAAAGGAACTGGAGAGGACTAGTTCGTTAAATCATTTAAAATTAACTTTTTTTGAATAAATTTTAATTTTAAATAAATTTGCTTAAAAAAAATTTTGTTTCAACAGATAATAAAATCTTGAAAATGATACCAAAATAATAGCACTTTTTATTGTAATACCATAAAATTTTTAAAATATATTTTAATCTTTTGTTTGTAACTATAGTAATGGTGATATTTAATTAATACGTTGTGATACTTAATTTGTAGATTTTACTTTATTGTTGTATTTTTATGCATAAAATACTTATAACTTTGAAATTACTAGTTAGAATAACTTGCATTTTATATAATTAAATCCTAATTAAGTGCATACAAAACAATGTTTCACTTGATTGGAAAACAATGTCATATCCTTAAATAGCACAAAGTACTAAAATTGTACTTCTTTTAGATTAAAATGTTTTAGCACTTATTACTTCTAAGCACATTTTTCCTATCAGCTAAGTTCTTATTTCATTAAAATAAATGTAAAAAATACGTAATATTCAGTATTTTAATTGCCAATAAAGAAATGCCAGAGGTGTAAATAGGTATAAGTATAAAACTGTAATTTCCATACATATTAGACTATTATAACTTTCAAAATATAAGACTTAATGACTGCCTACTGATTTATTTGAATCAGAATAATAAAAATACATCAGAAGTATTGTCTTAAGCACATAAATATCTCTTTAAAAAGCGTAAACAAATCTAAGCAACTTCATTCTTACTAAATACTTCATTCTTACGTTAGCAACTTCATTTTTACACTCTACATCATTCTTACTAAATATCTTAATACTCCTGAACTATTAGTCCTATCAACTTGGTTTTGATGTCATTTAATTCAGAGTAAGAAGATGTTAACGAAACAATACGTCATTTGTTTCAAATATTTAATTAACTTCTGTAGCCCTAACACAAGTATTTAATTAACTTCAGATTTCTAAGCATTAAGCAGAAAAAGAAAATACCATTTAATCAAATTTTTAGAAAATTACGTCATAGTACTTTTTATTTAGAACACACACGAATAACTAATAATGTTATAAAAGTAAAATGCGAAGAACTAAATTATTGAATATAAAATCAGAATATTCATAAACTCAGCTCTAATGCGAATAATTAAAACTTAGTTTTGCTAGTTTGCCGTTATTTTTGCCTTCGTGTATTTTAACTGAAAGAAGAGAAATAAAATCATAACATTAAAAAATATTAATATATTTTTTTTCTTTACAATGCACTCGTATATTTTATACTTTGTTTATCTTTTATTAATTTTTTTTCTTCAAATACTTGAGACTAATTTAAAAAAATTTTTGAAACATAAAATGCTAATTTAGCATAATCATTTACGCTAATCTTAAAAAGTATGCGACAGTTAATCTTAAAACATATGCGAGAGATTTAATTTATGCTTCATCTAAATTTTATGAAGTTACAAAAACTGTGTGTTTAAAAAACAGAAAAAGAACTATTTACGGGTTTATATTTATAAGTAGAAAAAGAATTATGCTAATTTAAAAAATCGATGAGTATTTTTATTTATTTTTCAATAAATTGACCCAACAAACGAAATATTCATGCTGATTTATACCAGTGGTAAAAAATATGAATATGGTTATGTATATTTGAATCAGATATATATATTGTATATCTTATTTGTGATGAATATATACTAGTCTGGGGTACTATTTTTAAGGATCGATAACTAGCGTCTGTTTAGCATGTAAAAAAACGTAACTGAATGTCAAGGGAAATAAAATATTGCCAGAATGAAGCGAAATTACAATAAGAGTAATTTCTCAGTGCTCGGAAATCTAAAAGGCATTGAAAAATTTTCTAATGACAATATCATTATCATACATTATCAACATTTTATGCTGAATATGTAAAGTTGAGCATATTCAATTGTTTTTTATCCTGGCGAAAATGTCAATACGTTATTTAGCCAAAATAGAGGACGATGAGTCATGCTTTTCACTGTTTTGTCCAGTAACTCTGACTCATTTATTTCACCCCTCGTTCAGTTCATGGTTCAGAGTATCTTTATTTATTGAAAGGTATTGTCGAAAATTAAAACTCCTTTCTTCAGCACCCCGAACATTTTCAATGGGATTTGGATCTGGAGAACTTGCTGGTCATACGAGATATTTCTTATTAGATACTCCTAGACAGTGATTGTTCGATAACGTGTGTTTTTTTTGTCGTCCTTGAAAATAAATTTCTTATCGTAGAGTATGCAGCATGAGGGACAGAATATCATAAATGCATCGTTGGCCAGCCATATTCGCACATTTAGAAGCACGTAGATATAAATAAATCTCTCAATTTCATACACAAGCACCAGCGTAAAGCTCTGCCATAGCTTCCTTTTGCCCATACCATGATACTATTTATAAGATAACGATCCCTTCTCCGTGAGCTTGCTGGATTACATGCGATATTTCTTACATGCCAGCTCAGTTTTTGTCTAAAATCAGACAAAAAGAGTGAACCTACTTCTACTTAAGAATAGTGCACAATTAAAGCCGAACAATTACAATGATATCAACACCATTGAAAACAAGTGGAAAGTAATGCCAAGGCAATGGGATGTACATAAGAGAAAGGCAAGAGCATGCATCTCTTTCTTTTGTTCAAATGCCAGTTTTTTGTCTTACTAAATATGTGGTAATAAACAACTTAAACTTTGAAAACCAGAATCTCTGGTATACCGTTACAGAATGAGCGAAAGATTACTAAATAAATGATTTAAATACCGTATATTTTTGTTTTTATAACCAGTAGATTTTTCAATTAAAAGTCTCAATAGCATACAGTACAGTAAATTCACAAAAATATTTTTCTCCTTATATAGTGTTTACAATTCTTGTCCTTCACTGAAGTGTTTAAGGCAGTAAAGCTGTATTCATACAAAAATCACAAAGCTTATACTTTATTTATTTATATATAAAGTTTGTTTTATTTTATTTTATTTTGCCAAAACTTCTCTATCAAAAATCTTCATAGAAATTGCTTAATAATGTAATAATATTATACAAAAGAAAGTAGAATGTTTTTTAATTATTTTCACAATTTCAATTACTTTTCAATTTACGACAAGGACTTTATTTTTTATATTTATATTAAAGATAAAAGTTAAAAGAGGTTAAGAGGATTATAGAGATATTTAAAAAAATAAACAATACAAGTAAAATACTATGTAAAATATCTGTTTAAATACTCATATTTAGTCTATTATCTTTTTTAATGTCATAATAAAAAAAAAGATTACTACTTTAAGATTATTAGCTTGTATCCCAAACATCTACCATGCTTTCTATTAGCACTATATTTTAAAAGCTTAATATCTGTCATGGATAAATAGTAGAATATGCCACTATTACTTTTAACTAATACGATGCAATTAATATGTAATTAGAACACAATTTAAGTAAAACCATTAAAATCAATCAAACTTTCTCTAAACACTATTAATAATTCTGTTACACAAGTAATTCCTGCGTATGATTAATTATTTAACTAGACAAAGGCTGGATAAATCCGACAAAGTATAAAAGTCTACCTGTTACTAGTTAGATGTATTAATAGCAACATATTATGCGTTACGAATAATATTTCAAAGATCAAACGTGCAATGTTTGCGTGATTTAGTAACTCTTAAAGGATTTATATTTCAAAGAACTTCGGATCTAAACATTGTTTCAAGTTATTTAGAAGGAATTTTTCAAAACCGATGATCGAGAGATAATGCATTATAACTAAGTCTCCTAGCAGCAACTTTTATACAATTAAATATAATTAAATTATCAATAAAAATATTCAGGCAAATGAGAAAAAAACTAAACTTTGAGGACTTTATTTTGAAGGTAAATAAAACACAATAAAATTAAAAAGTATTTCATCAAACACTATTTAGTTAATGTTTGCGTATTATTTTCTTACATATTTTGAATTTAATTTAAAAAAGAAATATAAATTCAATTCTGATCATTATTGTTTGCTCTCAATAGTGCATGGAAAAAAAATTTGGGTTATATTAAAATTCTGTGTTTTAATAACTTTTCTGGAGAGAAAAAAAAAACTTTTTTTTAATAAAACGGAAACATACTGTATTTAAGCCACACATTTGACAATCTTTCGGTTAATATGGAATTATCTGTACATTCTGTTCTTATGGTATTCTTATCACCGCAGATTTAAAAAAAAAAACAATAATCTGAAACGTAAATTTAACTGAATAAATGGTTTTTATGTCATGCTCTAAGGTATCAAGATAAAATTATTACATTTAACTATACATAATTTACCACAGATTATAAGCCCAAATTTTAATTAATAATATTTTAATCTTAATTTCACTAAAATCATCACTTAAGTTCTTCGGTAAAAATAATCATGATCATCAGTTTTTCAATACAGCCAGAAATACGGTAAATTTTTCTGTTTTCTGGAAATTTTGACTACTTTTTTTTCTCAATGTACGAGTAAGAAAATCAGTTCTTTCTTTACAAAGGGCGAACTGAAAACGGATAAATGCAACAATATGAGAAAATATTTCATAAAAATTGGAAAATATTCCAGTGTAAGAGAAATTATTTACTTTGCGAAATTTTTTTCAATTGTGCTAGTTTTTTATTATTTTTATTTCAGCACAGATATAAGCATGAGTATTTTATCTTCTTTTTACACATTGTTATAACGAACTAAAAGAAATTAAACTTAATGAGAACTCTACTTTTGTGTAAAAAACTTTTTATAACATTGTTTTAAACCTTACTTTTTAAATAAATAAACAATTATCAAAAGATTATCTAATGGTATTGGTCAGCCAAAAATGCAAAAACTTTATTTCTTCCTTATATAAATAAATAAATAAATAAATAAATAAATAAATATATATATATATATATNTATATATATATATATATATATATATATATATATATATATATATATATATATATATATATACATATATATATATATATATATATATATATATATATATATATATATTAAGTTCGTGCCTTGTTAATTTTGTTTTGTTTATTCGTAAAACATGTTTCCAAATAAAAGTATAGATATATTGTACTTTTCAAAACAATTTATAATGCAACAATGTATGGAAAGAACTATTATAAAACACTTTTCAAGAAAACAACTCTAATATTTCTCGAATCAAATTGTCACTGCTCTATACATTATATTTATTCTATTCTGTGACGCATAAAGACAATGATTTATTACAAATATTTTTATTTTTTCTTCATATTTTTAAGAATGCTATAAGAAATTCGCAGCTAAATAAATTATGTCTACTAAGCGCTAATTGCAAATTAATATTTGTATATTCCTACTCTTTTAAATTTTGCACAAATAAGTCTTCTATTTATGATATTACTTAAAATATTTATTTAAAAGACATTTTAAATAAATATTATTCATAATCAATTAAACGTATAGCGCTAATGCTTTTAAGAGGCAAATATTGACAAAATTGTTTATCCCCTTATCTAAATAACGAGTTTTTTTCGAGTCAACCCATTTCAATTTTTTTAAATATCCACATAGTTATTAACTGAATGAACAAAACGATAAGCAAAGTAAATAAACTTTTGACAAATTATGAAGATTGATGATTCAATTTTTGTGTGTGTCATAAAAAAGGCACTTGAAAAAATAAATGTGTGCTTGAAAACAGTTTTTGAGGCCGGGTACGAGTATTAAATATCGAAAATTAAATAAACTGATATTTATTTAGGAACATATTCTAGTAATATGAAAATAAAATAAAATATTATAGATGACAAGAAAATGTCAAAAATGATCAGATGTGAAGTAGTATCTTAAGAGAGGAACTCGTCAAAAATGCAGAGGGTTATTCCAAAGAATTGTCTCACTTTTGACGCGTGAAATTAATTCTTGCATTTTCGAAATTATATTTTGAAAATATTTATCAACTATGATGTGACTAAAAAAATAATTTTATTCTGATTCGTAAAAAAATAGAACAGTGTAAAATTATTTTACTGTCCTTTTACCATGGAGATTCTCTGTATCATCTAACAGAAGTTGAGTAATACTTAGCACACTGGTCAAAAATATGGTTATAACTACTAAAATATGATAAAATTTAACATGTTTCTGACTTAGTGAGAGCACTAAAATGCTAGTCAATTTTTATCAAATCAGTTTGGCAATGACTTTGGTAAAATTTGCAATGAAGTATGGTTATATTATGCGTGAAAAAATTTGGTAAATGCGGTAAAATTTGGTAATCTTATGATGCTACCAAAAAACATGACATTAAAACTTTATAATCGATTAAATTTACTTTTCATTGTATTTTTGATTAAATGCTGGATTAATATAACTTTAACTTTGAAAATCAGAATTTTCGGTATATCGTTTCCATGTGAATGGAAAAATAACCAAATGAATTGTTTAAATATCTTATATTTTGGTTTTAATTACCGCAAATATGATGTTTTTTAACAAGAAATTTCACTACTATACACTGCGGTAAATTTACCAAAAATCTTTCCCTATTTGCGATTGAATATGTGTAGATAAGTAATTTCATGCAATACATGGTTTGGTTAAATAAAGAAATTCAGAATGAATATTAAATATGTAAGTTATTTTTTGTACTATTGATTATATTTTTAAGTACTAATAAAAGTCTAAAGAAAGTGATCCATGGGTCATTATTCTCTAACAAGCATAATTTAACAATTAATTTCGATAATCTTTCATCTACAGAAATAATTTTAAATTTATTTTTAAGAAAAATAATTAAGTTTAAAATCAGTTAACGTCAGTAAATATTATAATTAATGCAAGCAAATACTTCGAAGATAACTTTGTTTGTAACTTAACAGTTAAGTATTTTAAAATCAACCCAATCTGCATTTATTTAATAATTATACCAAAAGTAATTTGTAATCAAGAATTTATTACACGAATTATAGAGATTTACTCACCATCACTAATTATTGTATCTGAAGCAGTAGTTATGCAAAAAATTGAAGAATACAGTATAAAATATGTATTCATAATTTGCATTTTTTTCCTGTAAAGTAAAAAAAAATATGCATTAAAAATTGAATAATATTGTAGTAATTGTAAGTTCTTATCTTATTAATTTTAAAAAATATGACATTTTCTCTTAAGTAATTTTAAGATTTAATAATTTAATATTTTATTAAGCAATTAAGTAAACTTAATTAGAAAATTCTCATTTCTTCAATTTTAATAGTTGCAATTAAACCATCTACTTCATTTTATTAAATTAAAAAGTACGAAGACATTTTTTCGATATGTTCAAACTGCTTGGATTTCAATTGTTTAATAAATTACCTATCCCGTAGTTCATACAATCACCTCTCTTGAATTCAATTCTTATTATATCCAATCTGAATTATCTCAATATGTATTTAATATCCTATTATCCATACATTGGGTTGAAATTTAATTAGATGAGTCCCAAAATAAACTACATAACTAAATCATACGCAACTAAAGCTCACAATATAATACTAGGGTATTGAATTTATTTTTCTCTAATTATATTCGAATTCTAACCATTTCCTTACAGTTGTAATAGAAAAATCTGTATTATTAATGTAGAATCTTGTGTTTTAACATTAATCTTTTTAATAGATCTTAAGATCAGAGTTGTCCTCACTTATCAACCATATGGGAAGAAAAAGAACTAAACTACTTGATAACAAAGTATTTGTAAGTAAAATAAAGTTTATTTATTTATTTTACCTTTCAAATGACAGGCTAACAGGCTGATGTTTTGAACTTCAAGTTAATTTAAGCTTATTGCGGAACAAATACCACACTCATCTCAAATATAACCATATACGTATAATGCACAGCTCTATATACGTACGTATCTCTACGTATAAAGTGTAAATATACGTATCTCTACGTATAAAGTGTAAATGAGTACTTCTTAAAATCAGATTAATTTTTCTGATATAGATACCAAGAATTTTAGTGGAAATATAGGTAACTTAAATATCTGAAGAAAAAAACATCAGATCAATGAAAATTACAATAATAATAGCAAATGATTGGGGAAATATTAATATGTTATTTCCCACTGGAGTACAAAAATTTTGGTTTACAGTTGACATCATTTTTGGAGTTGGGTGAACTAAATCCATGGGGAAATGCAAAATTTTTAAGTACAGAGCTATAGTTATCTGCAAAAAACTGCATGAAATTGACAAAATAAACAATTGTTTGAAAGAATTAGTAATTATTATAATAATTGGAATATATAATTAAAAAATGTGCTTTTTTTCAAAGGAAGCGTTTTTGTAATAAAGAGATTAAATTTATTCTAATGCGCATGAAGATACATGTTGTCAGAAACAATAGAACATAAAATTAATAAACGAATAAATGAGACTTTAGTGGTAAAAATAAAATGAAAAGGGGATTAAAAAGTAAATCTAGTCAGAAAATTTACCTAACATGAAAAGAAATATCTAAATATTAGGAAATGGAGCTCATACTAATGGAGTTCACTTCAGTAGATCTCAAGTTTTAAAAATGCTTCATGTTTAATCTTATCTACCCTAAGATAAACCTTGATTAATCTATATTATTACTATCGAAAAAGGAATAGGGCAATTACAGTTTGGGAAATGGTAGTTTTTGTATAAAAAACCGTATAATAATGAAATTTTAGTTAATATTTAATTCTGCATTTAAAACCTGAAAATCAACCTTATATTTTTTACGCCTAGAACCGATAAATAATGTGTTTGCAATTGAAATAAAAATCCTTACTTAGATTTACACTATTTTTAAGTTTTATTTTATATAAATTTCAATACTCAGAGAAAAATAATGTTTATATAATCTTTAAACTAAAAACACTAGACATTAATAAAATTAAACATGGTATAAATTTTTGAAGTTCAAAGCATATCAGAGCTAGTTATAATATTTACTCATTTTAAATCTTTCCTATTCATAAAAGTTTATTTTTCCTGATAAGTTCCAATTTGCATATGTATTATCGAATTTCAATTGTAAATATATCGGTATCAATATTTTAATTAAATAATTCCAGTTGTCATTCTCTACGAAAACCTAGATCCAATTCTCTATCTCGCGAAGTTTAAGCAATTTCGGATGAAATTACAATATAAAATAACCGTGCTTTGGTAGCATCATCTGTAAAATCTATTTTTGCCATAAAATACTACGCCGTATTTTTTACAGTTTATTTAATTAGAGCAATTGATTGATTTTACTGTAATTATTACTGGAAAAATTACGGTTTATTAGTTTTTTTCTATTCCATAACATGTTTTGGTAAAAATGACACTCTGAGTCCCTGTACTTTTTACCGTAATGCGATCCAGAATTTTTGACTGTGTATAATAGACATCAAGACACAGAAGATAGTTCTTCCCCAGACTCCCGTTCCATAGGACTTCTTTACATATAACAAAATGTCTAAGTATTCTGAAAATGAGCTCCTTTAGCACAATTCAGTAGAGCCCAATTTTCAAAAAATGCCTCTTATTGGATCTTAACTTCCCAAAAGTTAACAATCATTAGTTCCTACCATTACTTCCGAAAAAGAACTGCGTCAAGCACAGCTGAAAAACTATAATACTTCGATAATATAACCATTCAAGTACTCTAAATCTATATTTGTTTATTTTTATTTTGTAATATCTATAAAAGTTTCCTTTACCCGATTAGTTCCAGTTCGCATAACTAAATCTCTATTAAAAAATACATTCATAAAAATATTTTAATTAAACAATTTAAGTTGCTATTCTCTAATTAAAACCAAGTTCATTTACTCTTACACTCATGAAGCTTTCTAAACGAACCTCAAGACGCATAGAATACGTGTTGGTCTGTCTCACGTACTATCCTAGACAAAAGGACTTCCTAACATATAACGAAATGTCTAAGTATTCCGAAAATGAGTTCATTCTGCACACTTCAGTAGGCCTCAATTCTCAAAGAATGCCTCTTGTGGGATCTTAACTGCCCTAAGGTGAACCTTCATTAGTTACTACTATTACTTCCGAAAAGGGACTAGGGCAATCAGAGCTGGGAAACGATAATAGAAAGAAAAATCCACACTCGAACGCTAGAAATAAAGCGAAGCAACTAGATTCGTAATCATAGATTAAGTCAGATATTAGGTTAGATTCAGAGGTGCTGATCTTTGAGGCAAACTAAGAAACTAAATTCTGAGAAAGAAAGTTAAAGGACTTTAGGGACTTGCAAGAGTTACTAGAATAAGGAATGACTTAAGTAGAGATTTGTGCCAAATATACTTGTCGATACTTTCTCGATCAGATTTAAAGATAGATAAGCCTAGTGTGTGAATAAAAACAAATAGAAGGTAAATATTATTCACCTTTATAGTGCGGTCGGAAGTTGAGGTAGGTTTACTGCCAATTGTATCATGTGAGCTAGTATAAAGTTATATTTGTTATGTTAAATCCAGAACTGAACAAAATGAATAATTTGGTTCCCTTGAGAATTGGATTTTGAGGATAAAGTAAGTCAAGATTGCAGGCTTTTTATACAAGAATGTGAAATATTAAAATGAATTTAAATAGCTTGAGAAATAAATGTATAATGTGCAAATTAAATTTGAATTTAAATAAAAGCATATCTGAAATGTATCGAAGAATTTTTTTTTTCCATTAGCCTGAAAATATAAATATGAAGATAATTTTCAGTCTAAACTGAGAAAAAAATTTCTTCATAACTTCAAGAATATATCAAAATTTATCGTGTTTGTGGTTCAATGAGAACACCAAAATCTCAATAATTTTAATGTATTTTTGCTGTGGTAAATTACTCCTCCTGAGATAGATTCAGAACTTTAATTTTGAAAACCACAATTTTTGGAAAACTGTAGCTATACAAACGGTAAAAGTTACCAAATAAATGTTTTATATACGTTAAAATTTTGCTTTTTTAGCTAGGATATTTTTTTAACCTAAAATGCCATTGCTGAGCAATTTGACAATTTTAACTAAATTTTTTCTGTCAAGAATTTAATAATTGAATATCAAATATCTTATTACTACGTAGAAAAAACTTTTTATTATTTATTTTGATTTATTGAAATGCTGAAAACTGACAATATTTTCTTTATATTTAATTTCAAATAGTGTTCATTTTGAAAAAAAATTAAGGAACATAACTTAATTTTAATTAATTTAAAACAATAAATATGTATATCTTAAATTTATTTTCCTGTCGTAATGACAAAACAATGTTAAATTAATTTTGACTACCGTGGAAATACAAGCAAGTACTATCTTTGGTTTGTATTAATGCATACAGTTTCAAAATGGTGGGAACTACTTCTTTCTTGCAATAGAAAAATTAATTAGCCATTAGGATTTATTAATAACAAAAAATGTGAAAGAAATAAAATCTTACTTTTTAAATCCTGATCTATTACATTAATCTATTACTTATTAATTGATTACTTGAAATTAAATATTTAATCAATGATAAATTATTCAAACGGCAATTTAACTTCTGCTTTTTTCTTCGATTTTCAAAAAAAATTCTATGGTATCTTTGGTTTGCATTAATGCATACAGTTTCAAAATGGTGGGAACTACTTCTTTCTTGCAATAGAAAAATTAATTAGCCATTAGGATTTATTAATAACAAAAAATGTGAAAGAAATGAAATCTTACTTTTTAAATCCTGATCTATTACATTAATCTATTAGTTATTAATTGATTCATTGAAATTAATTATTTAATCGATGATAAATTACTCAAACGGCAATTTCACTTCTGCTTTTTTCTTCGATTTTCAAAAAATTCAAAACTTATTTCCTCTCGTTTTTCTCAATGAAATGTGTGTCTCACTGTGTTCAAGAAAAATCAAAACCTCTAAATTTGTTGATTAAAATCAATAAATTTGTTGAATAAATGCTAATATTCTGACACCCGTCATTTCTGTAAAAAACATTTAAGAAAGATTCAAATTAAAAATTATCCATAAAATAACTACTTCAACTAACTGAAAAACATTAGTTTTATTGAAAAAATAGCAAAAAAAGCTCATAATTTTTACAAATTGGAGAAAAAAAAGTTTAACACACTTTTACTGTATGAAGTACTGGTAATGTCCGTAACATGTTTCTATAAAAACGGACTTATTTTTAGTAAAGATCTCCGGCATCGTGAGTGGCTGTACTTTTTACAGAAATTTTTCAAGACGTTTTTATAGATGGTATAGCAAATTTCGCTCATCACGCATTTTTTTAAAATAATATCATGTTTTAAATTAGTTTTACCATTGGCAAAATTAAACTTTATATTTAGCAACTATTACCTAGATACATTACTTTATCACATACATTAGATTTAGATGGATTACACTTTAAAATACAATGAGCATCATTGAAAATATAAAACTTACCTGATACTCGCAGAGGTTGGTGCATCTTCACTTGCCGATAAAATCGTGACTGTGGCAGTTGTAGGCTGGTGCAGCAAAATCAGTCGAAAATCGTGACAACAATTAATTTCCCCCTCCTCCTTCACCAAGCCTTTCAACGCTATATCGTTCCAGTTCAATTGCCTTTTACTCAGAGAAATGAGGCAATCAAAGACGAAGATGATACTATAATAACCTTCGAATTGAACTCTGACATATATCTCGAGATTTCACGGTGCTCTGTTCTAAACCCAAGATTCTGTGTTTCAGAGGGGCTTGTCAGTACTTAACATATTCACACTTGTTTTACGCTGTTGTTTATAAGCTTACATACCACCCACTTCCTCTTAAACACCTGCTTTTAAATTAAGCGTAGATTTTGGGATTTTGAATTATTATGTTTACATTGAATTTTTTTTTCTTCTACTTTTTGATGAATTATTTTTTAATGTGTTTGTTTGAATCACCTCATGATGCCTGAAACTAAGTTCTTTTATTCAATCCTAAATAGTTTAAATTTAGTTTTTTCCCCCTCAGATTGCGAAAGGATTAAAATACAACGTATATTCTAGAAAAAGTTTGAATGAAAGTAATCTGGCAAATTTTCCACTTCGCTTCTTTTTCCATTTTAAATTAAACCATTATAGTAAATATGAATGTAGATTTTACTTTGCGTTTTAAATATTAAATTGAACTAGGAAACATTTTTTTTTGTATTGTATGTAATTTTTTAGCTCATTAGTAATATTTTCACATCGTCAATTCCAAATCCTCTATCGGTATCTCTTCTCAAGCTACAGTTTTTTTCAAATAAATATATTTTATATATTGTTATATTATAGTCTATTATATTTGTGTCAGTTTTTTTTTCGAAATGTGAAAGTTAAAAAACGTTATATATATATATATATATATATATATAATTCTTTTGTTAACTGCTTTCACCTAATACGGTTAAACGACTAAAATTTTATCACACCAACTAGGCCCTCATAATGAAGTCACTTGTAGCTGGGTTCATGCTATAGCCGAGAGAGCTAATCTGTCAATCACATAACCGACAGAACAAGAGTTCGAACCCCAGCTTTGGCACCTCAATATTTCCTCCATTCTCTTCAACGCATGAAAAGTTTCCAGTAGCCTGAATTCCCTAATTTGTGACCTTGGACTATTAGAATACCATACTCTCATTCTCATACGGATAGCAGTTCCATAAAGCTGCTTAGCATAAGGAAGTCTTGTGTTTCTATTTCTTATAATAGGTGAAACAACCAGATAAACAAATTAACCCACATTTCATGGTTTATTTCATAAAATACAACTAATTCCAATTTTCATTACCTAACGAAAGGCCAAGCTTCAATGTCCAGCGAAATTTCATTTTTAAGGTTTTGAAACCATGCCAGTTATAAAGGGTTGAAAAATAGCAAAGTTCTGTATTCATGGTTTCATAAGAATACTAGCTGTTAGCGGTTTTTAAAATGGTAAAGGTAAAAAATGCTCTTTGCCGTAAACTTTACCGTTAATCGGATGGACAGGATGCTGCCTGTTATTTTACCCTAATTTTTGAAAGAAAGTTTTATTAGTGAAGATAAAAAAAAACCCAATTACAGTGTCGTAGAATGAGAAAAAAGAAAATCAATACAGTGATAAAAAATTTAGACATAATTTCTTAAAAATACTAAATGCATAGCAAAAATATCAAGGTCTTTAGCAAATTCGTTAAAAATGCTGTAAAGTTGTAAGCTAGCTAGGTCTTATTGCAAATTATTTGCATCAAAAATAATATTTATAAACTTCGAAATTTTAATATTATCTGCTAAAATTAAATANAAAACTTCAACGATTTGTTGCTTCGACTTTATGAAATCATAAAATTCTTTTACATATTATGTGCCGTTTTACAGCAGCCAACATCTTGTTTGGCCTTTTAGAACAACATCACAATTACATGGTATTTATAGGTGCATGTGCTGTGAGGTATTAATGAAATACACTTAACAAAAATGAGAATAAGAACAAAAATGAGATAAGACACACTTTACATCAATATATGCTTCTTTATGAAAAGCCTCTTTTAAGGCCATAAGTATATATTGCATCTGCACTCTTCGTTACTCTGTCAGAGTTTGTATTATGACTGAATCCTTCATACTTGGGGGCTTGTAACTAACATCATCTTGACAGAATTTTTTTTTTTTAACCAAATTAAACAGCTCATCAACATTACTTTTCTCACTTAGTTTCTTTCGAGTTCGATGTTAAATGCTTCTTACATAAAGACTGAATTAATTTTTTTTACCCCTATTGGTGATTTTGGAAGTGAGTATACAATTTTTTTTATGGTGAGTGTACAACTTTTTTAAAGGCTTTACCAAAACTCTGCAGGAATTTGTATAGGGAATTTAAATTATTTGTATTAGAAGAGATTGGTAGAATTTGATTTTCTCTTTGTTTACACAATCTCTGCACAACAGCGTTTGCACTTCTGAGTTTTTTAAGTCCAACTTTTGTCGCGGAAGCTTTCTTCTCTGCTTTTCTTTCTCTGTTTTTTTTTTCTTCATCATATCATGGGGATCTTGGTCTTTTTCAACATTTTATCTGTCTTTCAACAGCTGTTTTAGCCATTAGGTTAATTGAAAAGAAAATAACTCCCTAGTGTTTGACTAAGCTTCTCTAGGACTCGTTTTGTCATCCCAACGCCGAAGATGTGTCATTCCATCACGCTAATTATTGGAAGTTAATAATCAAATGCATAGAATTTTACAATTTCTCATTGATTCTTATGCCACATCTGCTTTATATTCCAAAATATACACATTTTCATTTAAAAACGCAGTTGCTATTTAAAAAAAATATACTAAAACATGTGACGGAATGACACAAAAAAAGTTACTTTTATTTAATATATTAAACTTAAAATGACTTAAAGGCTATGTTTTAAATGCTTAAATTTTGTACTATATGCATATTTTTATCAAAATATTGCAAAAGAAAGATACATTTCTTTTATTTTATAAGTATTTTTCAAGAAAACAATTTGAGCACAAATGTGAAGAATTCACTTGTCAGTCATGTGATTACTTTAGAATGCTGCCAGATTCAAAAAACTTAAAATTATCAAAAATTAAACATTAATATGTAGACTTTGGCTATTTTTGAACATATTTTTAAAATTAAAATATGCATTTCATAAAAAAAAAATTCACTTAAAAGTTGACGCTTTCGTGGAATTGCCCTATAACACGGAGTTATTAATGCTGGGTGAGTAACACAAACGACTAGGGCAATTATGCCAGATCGTCAAACATAAAATTGAACGAGAACGCATGCCCGGAAACGTCGTTATACGCCACTAGGAACACTTTCCTATTATGAACTGTTACGTACGATAACATTTCCGGGCATGGGTTACATAAGAGAACATCAAAAGGATTCTTATTTAATCCTATTGATGTGCCCTAACTCCTTTAGAAGAATTGCAGTAACGGTTTAGCGATCCCCTGTTTTGCAAAACATTTTTAAACATGTACATGTCTCAAAAAAAAAAAAAAAAAAAAAAAAAAAAAAAAAAANAAAAAAAAAAAAAAAAAAAAAAAAAAAACCAGAAGTTCAATATAAAAAATCTATAGCTTCATGAGCAAGGCTAAATTAAGATTTGAAAACTCTACAACAGCCTCTGGCAAGAATCAAGTATTTGAAAAAAAATGCAACAAAACATAAGTTTATTGAGGTTATCAAATAGTTGAAAGAGTTATGATAGTTATTTTAAATTGCTTAATTTTGTGTTTTTAAAGCAGCGTTTGTTAAGTTTCAGAGATTAAAAAAAAAGAACTTTTTTCAGAAAAATTTACAATTTATGACGTGCTGAGAATATAGTACATTACGATTAAAAATCCCAGAACTGGTATGCTTGAATACAACAAAAAATAAAGTAGTTTAGATCATATCGATTAATTTCTCTGTTTACTTCCAGTAAAATACACTCTATAACAAAAAAATCGACGCACTTAAGAGGGAGTTGTCCGATTGAAACGAAAATTGGTGGATAGGAAGACAATGTACAGAATAGTAAATGATTAAAATTTCAGAGCAATTGAATAACTTATTGCAGAGTTACAGTAACAAGTTCAATAAGGTGTTGACTTGCCTCTAGCCTGGATACAAGCTGCCACACGGCGTGGCATAGACCGGTTAAGCTCCCGGATGGTTTCTTGCGGTATTTCTTGCCAAATTCGATCCAATTGTCGAACGAGGTCATCAACAATCCGTGCCAGATGCAATCGCCTTCCCATGATACCACAGACATGCTCGATGGGAGAGAGATCTGGTGATCTGGCAGGCCAAGGAAGAGTTTGACAAGCCTGCAGACAGTTCATAGCAAAATGTGCCGTATGTGGTTTGGTATTGCCTGCTGAAAACCAGCCCTGGGCCCTGCAAAAGGAACGGTAGCAAAACAGGTCTTAGGATGTCGTCGACGTACCGCTGTGCAGTAAGTGTATCTCTAATGACGACCAAAGGGGTCTAGCTGTCAAAGGAAATGGCACCCCAGACCATAATGCCTTGTTGAGGGATGGTGTGGCGTGCAATAGTGAAGGCAGGATCCCCCCTCTGCCCTGTGCGTCTCCAAACACGTCTTCGATGATCGTCAGGACACAGTTGGAAGCGGGATTCGTCGCGAAAGACTATACGTCCCCAGTCGGCATCATTCCAGCCATATCTGTTCAAAACAATCATGCATACGAAATTTCAAAGCAATCGGATGATTGCTTCTTTGTGCGTCGATTTTTTTGTTATAGAGTGTATACCTTTACATTTAAAATCATTTCATTAAAATGATAAAACAATTTAAGTTTATTAAATTTAGAGGACCAGATATAAGCACACTGCATTGTTTAGCATAATTTTTTTCACAAACAAATTTTATAATACGTATTTTACAAATAATATATTGATAATACCATAGTTATAAAATATAGGACATGATTGATAAATACATTACAAATGAAATGTCAATTTTTAAAATATCACATTTTCAGCATTTAAGACAACACATCAAGTTATTAATATTATTTACACTTCAAGTTTTTCTCCCTTCTATTTTTTAAATAATTAATTATTTCTAATGAAATAAGTGATAAATAAATAAAATATTAATTAAAAATGAAAAAAAATATTTGTATACTCTATTGCTAAGATTACATAATTAAAATTTTAAGAAAAGAGTTCTTTACAAAAGATTGCAAAATAAGATAATAGATAATCTAAGACTAAAAATAAATCCATTTATTTTTTTGTTTCAAATCTTCTAAAATAT